GTGGCAGTGAAGACTGAGGCAAAAAAAGCATTTTTTGCAACCTCTGCCTTCTCTGTATCTTGGGAAACCAGCTCTCCCACATTCGTAAACTACATTGTCCACAAAGGTTATAAGTTACCCTACATAAGGGGGCCCACATTTTCCCTGATCTTCTTTTTATCCCCTCTGTACCTATAGAAGCCCTTCTTGTTGGCCTTGATGTCCCTGGCCAGGTTCAATTCTGTCAGGGCTTTGGCTTTCCTAATCTGATCCCTGACCTCTTGGACAACTTCCCCGTAATCCTCCCAGGCTCCCTGTCCCTGATTCCACTCACTGTAGGCTGCTTTTTTTTTTTTTGCCTCACTTTGTCCCGGAGCTGCTTGTTCATCCACGTAGGCCTGCGGCCGCTTTTACCCAACTTTCTCTTCATTGGGATGCATCGCTCCTGAGCTTGGAGGAGAAAGTCCTTGAACACCTGCCAACTTTCTTGGGCCCCTCTTCCCTCAAGGAAGCTTCCCAATCAATTCCCTGTAGAGGCTAAAGTCCGCTCTCCTGAAGTCCAGGGTAGCGAGCTTACTGTGCAACCTCCTTGCCTCCGTAAGGATTCCAAACTCCACCATTTCGTGGTCACTGCAGCCAAGGCTGCCCTTGAGCTTCACATCCCCCACCAGCACCTCCTTGTTGGTGAGAACAAGGTCCAGCATGGCACCCCTCCTCGTCGGCTCCTCTGTCACTTGGATAAGGAAGTTGTCATCAATGCATTCCAGGAACCTATCAAGCAGAGGCAATCCATCGAAGTTCACAGCTTTAGAGCTCTTGGTGTAAACTTTCACTGTAGATCAAATCCCAGGAAAACATTCTCTAGCTCTTTCATGGCCTGAGGGTAAAATTTGGTAAACCTCAGACTCTAATGTCCACGTTCTGTCCAAGAAACTGTAGCTGCAGGATGTCTCCTTTTTGTGTGGAAATGACACAGTGTAACTGCATGACTAGACTTTAACTTCCTTTTCGCCTGAAGTCTTCCTGGCCAATGTATGTACACTAAAGTATATGCACACACAAGATATGCAGATCTCTCTGTAACCTGCACCCGCTGGGTAGACAGCCTCTGCATGGGTGACCGTCCTTCTAAAAAACATTCTTACTGCAGTCACAGCAGGACCCATTCCATGTCTACACAGAAATGCTTTGTCAGTGTCTTTTTACTGGGAGAAGAGGAGATCCAGTGCTTCTGCAGCCCCCAGGCAGAATCGATGAGGCATGCTCATGTCGTTAGGAGGAGAGCTCTGTAGCAGTTTTCTAGAGCTAAGAACAGTGCTCTGTGCTTTGCACTGCTGCAGTGCTTTGTTCTGAATTCCACAGATGCCATGTCTAGGTGATGACCTGTTACACCACTGTACACTAAAAAAGGACATAAAGAGCAGCATAGTGTGAAGATTCCTTTCTTTTCTTGGGAAGTAGCCACTATTGGTGCTTTGTTTTCTATGCACTATGACTATCCTGGGAGAGAGAGAGGTTGAGGTGTGCATGATGACTGTCAGCAAATTCCTCATTCCATGTTTTGAGGGTTTTTGATGCTTCTTTGGGTGGGTGTTTTTTGGAGAAAGAAGTGTTTTGGGTTGTTTAGGGTTTGTTTTGGTTTTTTGTTTTAAGATTGTTGTGTGCCTACATTAATTCGGAGTCCAATTTATGGAAGATTGAGCTGGCTTAGGATATAACTGGGTCTTCTTTGCTCACTCTTTTTCGAGGGGTAGCTGATGTACAGCTTAGAGACCTTGTGCTATCCCCACCTGTCCAAACTCATTATCTATAACGGTTCTAAACAGCTTTTGTCATTAGAACCCGCTCCTTTCTGCTTTTTATCAGCAATGGGAAAAGTTCTTTGTGATATATGGCCCAATAGTTAGGTCTCCCAGCTGTTTCTTCTGTAGACTATTCTGCCATCTCATACCTCATTTTCCCAATCATTCTTTGATCTTCAGATGGTCCCCACAACAGTTCATACAGACAGCCAAAAAGTTCAAAAGAATAGTTATTATGAAGAGGCTGGAGGCATTCGGTGAAGTGAGTGGTAGTAAATCCTAATGTGGTAACAAGAGGGCTTTCCTACTGTGTTGTTCTAGATTAGGCAATAACTCCGGCCTGTCTATGAAATGAGGTCATCTGTACTCTCTGGAAGCTGCATGTTCCTATTCTTGCCAAAGGAATCTGGTACAAACGATGCAAAAGTGGTGTTGCAGTTTTATGTGCAAAATTCACAGCCCTGCACCTGCATCTGTTTGTATCATGGTAGATTCTTAGAGAAAGATTCCCCACCACTCTCTGGGAGTTACTTGAGGTGTGCTAGATGTGGGTAACATAGTTCCTGGCCTCTGACCCATTCTCATCAGTCTTGGTTTCACCTGTGACTAGAATTTTGCATGCAAAAAGTCAAACCTGCTGCATCTTCTCTGTCTGTCTTGTACAGGTGTGAGGGAGTGCAGATGTGTGTCAGCTGCAGACACTGAGAGTCATTGATGTTTATGCCATAAGAATTCCAGATTCAGGGAACTTTTTCTTTGGCTTATTTGGGGGAGGAAACACACACGCTCACACCCCCCAAGAAAACCCAACCAACCAAAAAAACACCACACAAATGGAGGCAGGCTGTCAGTTCCTGAAGAATAACCAGATATCAAATACTACATCAAATTAAGTTATGATATTCAAATAACATTAAAGAAGCCTACCTACCAAAGGGCTATAAGTAATACCAGGGTTTGACCTACAAAGTTTTCTTAAAATTTTGTTCAGCCCATTGGGGTTCCTTTTAAACACTGTAGGCTGTTGCTTTGTCCAGTCCTGCCACATGCACCATACCTATTTGCCTGCTTAAATTTTGCATTAAAATTTTAGGACTGTTTTTTACTGAAACTTTATTAGTATATGCTGTATAATTAGGAAATGAGATTTTTTTTTTTTCTTTACCATGTGGTTTTGCTATAAATGGAACATAATAAGTAATATTCATGGATCACTTGAAAGGATTAAAATGAAGGACTGAACTACACCAAGAAACCTGATGTATCAGACTAGTGTCTTGTGTACTGTTCAGCTTTCTCTTCTTCAGTTGACTGGGAACCACAGACAGAACCAGGAAAGTTGGTTGCACTGTGATGATTTTAATTGTCTTTGGAATAACCAGGTGATGTCAATAAGAGCTTAGATAAGTTACCTTTGGCAGATCATATGCCTTGTATCTGGCATTTGTACTGAAAGTGTTATTTCACGATGTCAAGTATAGATTATTTCTCAGTAGTTCAATTTGCTTTTTCTTAAAGTACCTTGAAAATCCAGCCTGTAACATGAAGTGTCTGTCTAGATGCTTTACTTTTGTGAGTGCCAGCATAGTACAAACTATTTTCTTTTACTTTCCCTTTATTCAAAGGTTGAAGATGCTGTTTTCCGGGAGTTCTGTGAAGAAATTGGTATAGAAAATATTCGTGTGTATGAACGAGAACATGTGAAACAACAAGAGGAGATTGATAAGAGAAGGTGTTATTTGTAATTGAAATGTAAAAAAGTGGTTTGTATTAGATTGGGTACACTGATAAATGAGCAGCTGCATCACAGGAAATACTACAAAAACCTAGAAGACTGTAAGAGGTTACATTATCACTGCAAAGATTAGTTAGCAGTTGCACTGCTATGGTTTGGGTTTATTGGACAGTTACAGTCAGTAGAATTTACTATTTTGATAGCACTGTAGTAGAAAAAAGGCTAAGAATAGTTTTCTAAAATCCACATTGAAAAATGGCTCTATTACAAATTGAGTGTGACATGAAGGCTTGCTCATTTATCAGAAATCTTAAAGGAGAACTGGGTGAAAGATGCAGTGATTTGGTACAGGAGCATGATGTTTTGGCAAACAGGATCTTAATTTTTTCACAGGCAGCCTCCACTGGTATTCCCCTGAAACAGGTACATGTTGCAGGACTACGTCAGAGACCAGCTGGAGTGTGTGGAACTCCACCTGGGGATGGATGAGGAGCTGACTGAGACCTTATGGGTCAGGATTAAAGGGAGGGCAGGAACAGGGGACACAGCAGTAGGGGTTTGCTACAGGCCACCTGGCCAGGATGAGCGAGTGGATGAGGCCCTCTACAGACAGATAGCAACAGCCTCATGTTCACATACCCTGGTCCTCATGGGGACTTCAACCACCCCGATATCTGTTGGAGGGACAACACAGCAAGGCACAAGCAAGCCAGGAGGTTCCTGGAATGCATTGATGACATCTTCCTTATCCAAGTGATAGAGGAGCTGGTGCCATGCTGGACTTTGTTCTCACCAACAGGGAGAGGTTGGTCAGGAATGTGATGGGCAGCCTGGGCTGCAGCAACCACAAAATGGTGGCATCTGAGATACTTACGGAGGTATGGAGCGTGCGCAGGACGTTAGCTACCCTGGGCTTCAGGAGAGGAGCCTTTAGACTCTTCAGGGAATTGATTGGCAAGAGTTCCATGGGGAGGAGCCCTGTAGGGAAGAGGGGCCCAAGAAACCTGGCAGGTATTCAAGGATCCAAGCTCAGGACCTGTGCATCCCAGTGAAGAGGAAGTCGGGTAAAAGCACCAGGAGGCTGCTGTGGATGAACAAGCAGCTCCTGG